CCTCTCGGGACCCAGCGGCACTGGCAAGACCTACCTGACCAACCGCCTGGCCGAGTACCTGGTGGAGCGCTCGGGTCGGGACGTCACCGAGGGCATTGTCAGCACCTTCAACATGCACCAGCAGTCCTGCAAGGTGAGCCAGGAGCGTCCTTGTTGACCTTGGTGCCACGGTCCCCATTGGCAACGTGCTGTGGCCCCACATGTGACACCCGGCCCGTTCGTTGCAGGACCTGCAGCTGTACCTCTCCAACCTGGCCAACCAGATCGACCGGGAGACAGGCACGGCAGACGTGCCGCTGGTGATCCTCCTGGATGACCTCAGCGAGGCGGGCTCCATCAGCGAGCTCGTCAACGGCGCGCTCACCTGCAAGTACCACAAATGGTGAGAGCCCCACTGCGCCCGGCTCCCAGACACATGCAGTGCTCCCTGCTGCTCGTGGCAAAATCCCAGGGCTCGCGGAGATGAGGCTGCACGGCTGCACGTCTGCTGTGCTTCAGTCAGCCCTGCCGCGGGCAGGGGTGATGCAGGGTGCTGTCTCTCATGGACCCTGCCTCTCTCTCACTCAGCCCCTACATCATTGGGACCACTAACCAGCCTGTGAAGATGACCCCAAACCATGGCCTCCATCTCAGCTTCAGGTGGGAATCATACATCCCTGGAGACCATCCCCGTGGGGTTGCAGTGGGGCAGAGGCCATCACTTCTGTCCCTGAGCAGTCCTGGGGACACATTCTGTGGTTGGGGACGCTGATGGGGACAGAGCCCCAGGCCTGTCCCTGCCATCCCAGAAGGACCTGATGCCCCAACCTTGGGCGCATGCAGTGTGGGGGTGCTGGGAGGTCCCCTGAGGGTGCTGGGGAGCAGGACAGCTTGTGTGGAGACCCAGCCCTGAACACTTGAGTCTTTCCCGCAGGATGTTGACCTTCTCGAACAACGTGGAGCCGGCCAACGGCTTCCTGGTGCGCTCCCTGCGGCGGAAGCTGCTGGAGTCGGACACGGACGTCAATGCCAACAAGGAGGAGCTGCTGCGTGTGCTGGACTGGGTGCCCAAGCTCTGGTACCACTTGCACACCTTCCTGGAAAAACACAGCACCTCCGACTTCCTCATCGGTATGGCCTTGCTGTGCATCTCCTTCCTCTGCCTCGTGCTGCTGGGAGCCCCCAGAAACTGGGGCAAAACCCTCCCGAGGGAGCTGGGGGAGCCGATGTGCTGCCTCGTGCCCCCCAGTCCCACACAACCCAAAGCCGCTGGGCGATGCGCACAGGTGTTGCCCTTCCCTGGGTGGCATTTCTTCCTGTGTCTGCCTTGTTGTCACCCTTCCTTGGGCACGGAGGAGCCGTGTTTTCCCAGGCAGGTCTCCCTTTGCCTCACCGTGCTTTTAGGGGTCAGATCACACGTAGCAGCCACATTCCTTGCCCAGGAGCTTGTTTTCTGCCCATGCGTGCCAGGCAGATGCTGCCTGCCTGCTGCTCCCAGGAGATGGTTGAGCCCTGGGCACCCTGTGCAGGCAGGCTTGCCCGCCTTGGTGCCGTGCTGCCATGCGACCAGTGGCTGGAGTAGAGGGACCTAGCTCTCACTTTCGCTCTCTACCTTCACCCTGCAGGTCCCTGCTTCTTCCTGTCCTGCCCCGTCGGAATTGAAGATTTCCGGACCTGGTTCATCGACCTGTGGAACAACTCCATCATCCCTTACCTGCAGGAGGGGGCAAAAGATGGGCTCAAGGTACCCAGAGCTGCCTGGCACGTGGGGATGCAAGCCAGTGGTGCTTGGGGACATGCTGATGTAGCAGTCTGACAGGATGGGGAGAGGGGAGGCACTGGGGTTTTGGGCACAGGTGGCTTCTTTTATCAGTCCCTGCCCTGCTCTGTTAGCAGGACATAGCCCTGTCCTGGGGGCACTTGGGGTGCCACGTCGCCAGCTTTGGCATGCACTGATGAAGAAGCAGCTGGCAGCTGCCACGTGCTCCCTGCTTGCAGGTCCACGGGCAGAAGGCAGCCTGGGAGGACCCCGTGGAGTGGGTGCGGGACACCCTGCCCTGGCCGTCAGCACAGCAGGACCAGTCCAAGCTTTACCACCTGCCCCCACCCACCATTGGGCCCCACAGCACCGTTTCCCCTCCCGAGGAGCGCACCGTCAAAGACACGACGCCCAGCTCCCTGGACTCGGACCCTCTGGTACGGCCCTGCTGCGCCGGCATGGGGAGGTGTACTGGGCGGTGCTGGTGGAGAGGGGAGAGCAAGGGGAGCGTTGCTTTCTCAGATATTTTTCAGTGTAAAAAGTCTAATTTGGGGGTGCAGAAACATGCTAGCAGACAGCAGGCTGCCCCAGATGATGCCAGCTGCTGCGCCAGGACCTGTGCCCGGCACTGCTTTGGCATGCTCAGCCTCGAGCATCCTGGCTGTGCCTGAGGCCAGGTCTTGGTGACAGGGAGGGACTTTGCAGCATCTCTGGGCTTTGCTGGTTTTGCTTTACCCTCTAAGAAACTTCTTGGGGTGGCTGGTTTGTATGGGAGGGCAAGGAGGGGCTGGTAGCCTTGGCTTCCCCAGGACACCCACGGAGCTCTCGCCACCCTCGGGCTTGGTGCCATCTCCTCTCCCCGCAGATGGCCATGCTGCTGAAGCTCCAGGAAGCCGCCAACTACATTGAGTCTCCAGACCGCGAGACCATGGTGGATCCCGACCTGCAGTCGACTCTGTGAGGTGTGGACATGCCGGCCCAGGCGGAGGGG